GTCCCTGTGAATGCCGCTCAAGGCCTGTCTGTAGGCTGTCGGGTCCAAAGGTTTGTTTGCCAACGCTAATTTTGCTCTGATTTTTTCCCATTTCTCCATGATATCTTTTTATGTACCAACTCCAAAAACGGCAACAATAAAGAGACGACATTTCTCCATAGACGCGCGTGCTTTTTTCGTAGTGCAGTTGTTTTCTTAAAACATCAACTATTGTTGTTATTTGTTTTTTTCTGTTATCTTTACTGCTGCGGCGTCGTTGTACATTTGCCAAAATGCAATAAACAATAAAGCTTTTATGTTCAATTTCCTGAGTGCCCTTTACCTCTGCGTGTCTGCTTTTGAACGTTGCACTCATTTTTATATTTGTTATTGCTGGTATTGTTGCTGCTAATGCTGTTCTTTTGCTGTTTGCATTATTTGAGTACAAAGCAAATTTACTCAATAGCGGAGTCCAGGGTCGACTGCAACGACGTCAACTGCAGCGAGTGGAGCGACGGCGGAAATATGTTCTTCTCAATGGATAATAATTTATTAGATGACGACAAAATATATACCTTTTGTGGCATTCAGTGCTGCTGATGTACTTTGTTATGTTATCAAATGATTGGAATTACATTTTCGCACATTTTTCGTTTTATTGAAAAATTTGTTTGATTAATTTTCTTGTATCGCTTTCGTTTTAATCAGCATTAAAACAGCAAAATTGGAAATACTAATTCTTACTGACCACCTTTCTATCTCAACTTTTCACAATTCAACAGTCGCTGTCTCTTCATTTTCTACCGTCCATATTATATATCCATTTTTCGAAAACATAAGATTTTATTTACCAGTCAATTTTTAATCTCCACTTTTTAAATGACCAAAAGCCTATGTTTAGTTCTTAAAAGGGCAAAAATTTGTTTTACCAAAAGATTTCGTTCCATTTTCAAATTAACATAAAACTATGTCCAATTTTCAAATGGCATAAAAATTATGTTCAGTTTTGAAATTACCAAAAATTTATTTGAAAATTTTTGAATGAACAATGTATGTCCAAATTTTATGTCCAAAAGTATATATCAAATTTTTCAGGTGTCAAAATTTCAAATTTAATTTTTTTAAATTACAGAGCTTCAAATCACGATTTGAAAGAAACTATAACAGAGATTTCATATGTAAATATGAAAATTGAAAGAGAGCAAAGCTTTACTCTGGCAGCCATTACCAAAGAAATCGCGTTAGAAAAACAAAGCTGCGCAAAGACCAACAACGTACAGCGATCAGCAGACGAGAGCACTCAATGGGAGCACAGTAAGCGTCTGCTGTGGACTTCGCTCTCTAAATTGGCAAACTGTCTGACTGTCTGACTCCCTGACCATCCAACGTAGCGTCAAACTCACCGCTTGTCTGTATGATTGTGCTTTGTTATTATTTTCTTAGAGTGTATGTGTGCCCACTTGTATTAGACTCCAACTTTGGCTCTGATTTCTGTGCTTAGTTTCTTGGTTTTTGGCTACAATTTCGTTCGAATGGCAGACAGTTTTTTGTTTTTTTTTTTGTGCTGCCGAAAGCTACATACACTGTGACCAAAAGCACATGTGAAACCAAATGTAAAAGAAACCAAGAAGCAGGCAATAACAGCAACAGCTCCACATATGGTCCTATGGAGTCAGTGTGTTCGGGTTGCTGCTGCCATCAAAGCCACCAGTCAAAGCATTGTTGTGGTCGCTCTTTGCCGCTGCTAACGTTGACGTCAATGCGCTTGCCACTGCCGCTGCCACAGCGATGGATGGCTGTGTGGCTGTGCCTTCAAGGCAGTCACACAGCCAACTGGCCATCAGTCGTTCGGTGTTGATTACCGCGTGCGGTACGTTGTTTTCTCCAACTTCTAAAAAGTGGCAACTCGTGCTACGCGAATTCGAAACGCTTTTTAGCGAATAACAGCAAACGAATTGCTGTTGTGTTAGTTAATGATACTTGATATAAAACAAAGCGCTTTCGGAAAACAAAGAAAAATTGCAATTCGTAATTTGCTTCCACAAACACTTTTTGTGGCATTGATAACAACAAAAATAAATCCAGCGTCTAAAATAAAGAAGCCTTAAATCAGCGTAACAGTATCGTTGACTTTGACGCTATCGGTGTTGGTGTTTGTTGCTGGCTGGCGCAGATCGTCGCGCGATAAATCAATCAACAGGTGGGTTTTCGGTTGCACCATCCATCCATATCTGCTGGCCACCATACATATGTGCCACTTCTTATATTTATTGCTGCTGTTTTTTTTTTGTTCGTATTTCTCTTTTTTTTGCTATCGTTGTACGCGTTTGCGTGCAATTTACGTGGGAAAAGTTAGCTTTGGCGAAACTTCCGGCTAAGGCAACCCATTTTTCATTTTGCAGCGGCTTTGTTTGCTTTGTTCGGCGTCGGTTATCGCCGTCGCTTTTATTGTGACCACTAACGTGCGATACGTGTTGATTTATTAAGCGCAGTGCACTCAGCGGTTTCATTTCTGGTTCGGCGTTTTGTTGGCTTGCTTGCTTGCCAGCTTGCCGCTTGGCACTGCCTTTGTTGGTCAAACGTAATTGCAATTTTTTCGGCCACCTTTTTTGGCTACGAAAACTAAAGCAGTTCAAAAGCAGACAAAGCAAAGCAGTGATTTGGACACGGCGGTAAAGAAATACAAGCGGAGAAAAAAAAATAAAACAGCAACAACAACAACAGCTATTAAACGAAGAAAATTGAAGAACTGGCTATGCACAGTGGTTCGATGTGAGAGCAAATTATGTATATGTAAAAACAGATTTATTTATTCTTAATAGGATCCAAATAGCTCCTTCTTACTGTGTTCGATTTTCAAAAATATTTCTTTCTTCAGCTTTCTAAATCAAACGAAAATTTACTTTAGGTGATAATTTGTTTCCATTATGGTGGAATCAAAATAGCAATATATATCTATGTTTGAAAATTGGACTACAAAAAATTGAACTGATTTGCATATGTTAGTTTTCAGGAAAATTTTTAGAATAATATTAAGATTTACCTGTGTTGAACCGATTAGAAATAGCTCCAAAACGTAAAAATTCGTATATCATCTGAGATTAAAAAACCTTATAAAATTATTTTATTTATAAAAATAAACTAAATTTTTGGAAGTTATTTTCCAATTAATCCAGTTCACGTAAATCTTAGTATTATTCCGAACACCTTTTCGCGAAATATGTAATTTGATGTAACATTGATGCAAATTTGTTCTATAACCCCACACTGTATCACCTGGTAAAATATTGTAGATGCAATCCCTATAGTTACGCCAAAAATTTTCTTTAAGTATGTGCATTACAAAAAGTAGTTTGAAAGTAGTAAAAACATAAAATAAAAGAATTTCAAAAATTTTGAAAAGTAGAAAAAAACGATCTCCTGTAAAATTTGGTTTCTGGTGCATACGAACAAAAGGATATGAGAACAAACTCATTAGAAATAAAATGGAGCCCTACTCGTCAAAAAGACGTAAGCCAAAATTTTCTTTTTGATACAGAAACGTTCCTGGGGCATCTTGATGCATTTCTGAATAAAAAAAAAATTTTTTTTAATATTGCTTACGTTTTTTTTGGCGGTTAGGGCTTGATATCTTGACTTCATTTCATTGGAACAATACAAAAAAACATTTTGTTCGCTATAAAACGTATTTAAATTTCAACCTTAATTCGAATACCCGTCCGTACCACTGTACTACTATACGGCCCACAGCCTACGGTTTACTGCTACCGCAACCACTCATGTCTTGCTTGTTAAATTTTTTTTTCTGAATTTATTTTTCGTTGTAGCTACAACGATTTTTTCAACATGTCTTTGTGTTTTATTGCGATTTTTTATAGTTGTTCTTGTGATTGTTAACCGGTTGCTTATAACGCTCTGTTTCACCGCTTGATTTCTTATAACTAATAACAATAATACAAGTAGTTAACATTTCTATAAAATTTTTATTGTGCATATATGTATGTATGTATGTATGTAGTTACTTGTACCTAATCTGTTATTGCTGTTGTTGTTGCGTTGTTATCTCCATTTGGCGCTTTTTGTACGCAACGTTGCACAAAAATACGCCACCACCACCACCGCCGCCGCCGCCGCCAACGCAACTGAGCGCTTGCGTATCAGCGCAAACATTTAAAATGCGATACCAAAACATTACTTAATAATTGCAGCGTATCTGTGAGATACTTAAAGTGTTGAGTGGTGCGTGGTTTTTAGCAGCGTATTGCAACCATTTAAAATTGGTGATGAGTGGTGCGCAAAAGCGAACGATGTAGTGACGATGGGACGGACGGACGAGTGGCTGGCAGAAGACCAATTTGACTGCCTTTGTTTAGCAACTGAAAGCGTGTACCTGCGATCACGTGATTTTGCATTGTAACTGAAATTTCGTTTGGATATGCCTGTCTGTTTAAATTTGGCTCGACTGCTTTGGCGCATGCGCAACTCTTGAATTTTCGCTTTCAATTACATATTTCATAATCGTTTGTGGCAACTCAGCCGTTACGCTTAAAAAGTTGACAATACTCGGGCCAATTGGTTAACCAAAACTTTACTTAAAAGGCACAGAAATGGTTGGATATGAATGTTTGAAAGTAAATAATGGACAACAAATTTATGTTTCAGTTAAAATCTGACCATTCAGTTTTGGTCTCTTAACAACTGACCATTAATTTTTGGTAACTTAAAGGACATAATTTTTGGTTAAATTGGGCATAGGCAATTCAATTCGCTTCTATACTTTTTATTAATATTAACATTACTAAAAATGTATGTCCATTTTTTATGGCCAAAAAACCCTTCATCCATTTTTGAATTGTGAAAGATTAATTTCCGGTTTTGAATGCCCAAAAAAATATGCCCAGCTTCCATAAAACACAATATATATATCCGGTTTGTATGCGACCAAAATTAATACCCAGTTTTTGAATAGCCAGAAAATATGTCTAAGAAAATATATATATTTTCAAATTGCCAAAAATGTATATCCAGTTATTAGAACACCAACAATTTATATTCCGTTTCTTATAACCATAAATGTATATTCTCTCTTTGGTTATCAAATATTTATGTCCAGTTTTTACATGACCACAAACTCATGTTCACTTTTAAATTACCAGTTTTGGCCTGTTTTCGAAATTTCAAATAAGTTCAATTTAAAATTGAGAAAAATTTCTATCCAGAAGGTTAGGTAAGTGAACATAAATTTGCCTCAAAGCTTAAAATTACCGGCACACTTTTAGCATAAATTATCGCCTCGCTTCTAACGATAAAAAAATGTATGTCCAAAATTAAAATTTCAAAAAAATCTTCACATTTTCAATCTAGGCAAAACTTATAAATTACCGAAATAAACATATGTACCGAATTTTAAATAGCCAATAATTTATGTTCGGTATTTATGAACTTATGTACATATCACAGTCGCGAAGTCTGTTCTGCCCGTTCCAAGTTGAATAGGGAAGCAAAGCGAATGGGTCTGCTGGTCAACGAAAACAAGGCGAAGTATCTCCTGTCATCAAGAAAATAGTCAGGTCATTCGCTTCTTGGCACCCACGTCAATGTTGACAGTTATAATTTCGAGAGATCATTAACACCGATAATAATGTCAGCATCGAAAGTCAACGCAAAATCACTATTGCCAACAAGTGCTACTTTGAACCGAGTAGGCAATTAAGGAGTAAAGTCCTCTCTCGACGTACAGTGGGATAATCGACCGTGCAAGTGGAGATATCAATTCATACGTACAGTTAATTTAAAATATTTTGATGTATTTGTATAATTAGTACCAAATGAAGTAAAAGAGACAAATCCAAAATAGTTTAATGCGATTTTTTTTCGTGTAGGTTTTTATGGCATTACCAAAGAGCGGGGAAAGTTAAAATTTAGTTGTTATTCCCATCTTCATTACTATTTTCATCATCAACATCACCCATATTATCGCTTTTTTAGGTAATTTTTTATATGACAATGAATAAGAATTGTATAAATTTTCTCTTCAATAATTATCTACATGTTTTTGTTAAGCCTAGAAGGTAATTCAGAATATATAACCTTTAATAAAAATAATCATCATCTTCGCTTGCGTCATTGTCATCACTATCAATACCTTCATCATCGCTATAGGGCTGCATAATTAACAACTGTTGTGCTTCTTTCGGCAAATCCGGGATTTTTTTTGGAGTAGTTTTCTCATACTTGATATAACAGGGTCGGAACTACATAATCAAAAGTCTATTTAATATATCTTCATTTGTCTTTTTTCTCTTGCACGCGCGAGTAACATTTTAGCTGACGGCGTATGGTGCTACGGGGCGTATATGTTACGTACGCAACTGCGGTTATACGAGCACGAGTGGTTATGTTTACGTTTTTTAATATATCTTTTTTAAGTTTTCATTTAAATACAATTTCACGATGGAATCTTGTTACTTATACAAACCTGAAGACAGAGCATTTTCAATGTTATGTGTGCCACCATAATCGACCAAATACACGTTTTTGTCGAAAAATTTAACAACTCTTGAAATTTGCCCCAAAACGCATGCTTGTTGGCATGCGAAATCAATAGAAAAGCCCCATTCGCCCCAGTTTTAAGGCAATTCACGCAGTTAGCGAACGTAGAGTCGTGCAGAAGATCTTGACATAATATACATATGTTCATATGTACGTGCATACATATATACACGTACACACACAAACATATGCATGTAAGTTATATGAATTTGCATTTAGCTCGTTAATTAAATTTGCCAGCGTATATATATGCGCTCTTCGCCAAGGCAATGCACCAGCAGCAGCAGGTCGTCATCCGGCACTTAGATGGTTAACGAGATATTTAGACTGTGAAGCGTTGTAAGTCAAACGTTGCTACGATATGCATACTTTACGCACACGTACTTACTTTTTGTATGTACATACCTAATTGTAAGCATTGCAAAAGCTTTTACACATATAAATATACATATAAACACCGCCCATTCATTATCAGAAACACCATCTGTGCGAAATGATAGCCCAAGCAGAAGCAGAAGCACAGCTACTGTAGATTGCAGCATGGGCGAGCGCAGCGCCCAAAAGGTACTAATAAAAGCACAAGAACAACATAAACAACAACATAAACAACAACAGTGGCAACAGCTTCATTAGCCAATAATTTTAGCA